GTGTGTGTGTGTGTGTGTGTGGATCTGGCCGTGTGTGTTGGTTCTGCAGCCAAACGTCTGTGAGACACCATATGGGCCGCTCCATGATAACCGCAGCTCCAACATTCATCATCACAACCGGATAATAACAATCCTCAAAAACACAAAAGAGCTTGATTAATATTTCAGTCTCCAGTCATCTCAACACAAATATTGACTTTCATCTTGACTACAGGAAGACTATTTCTATAAAACTACTTCAGAAAATGTTTAATTCATTTTAACTGATTTTAACGATTTCAGATAACTGAATAAAACATAATTTTTGAGGAATTTCACTAAATCAGGAGGATTGATTCAATTATTAACGTTTTATGAATTCAACTGATTCTGACAGGTGTTTGATGATACATTTGTATTAAATCATAACACAGAATCCAGACAACACAGAATTTGGCTGTAAAAATTTAAGTAAATTGTTACATTGTTAAAATTTAGTTAGTAGTTAAATTGATTAGACATGTTTTTTGAATATAAAAAATTAATGAAACCATTATAATTAAAAAGTAGAAAACACAGAATTTACAAACTTCCAGTGACTTCAAACATGAAACTCTGAACATCAGCAGCTCTAAACGACACACAAATCAACAACAGAACACAAGTCAGACAGGAAGTTCAGTGGAGTAAACGTGTTTAAAACCCTGTTTCCTCTTTTCATTCGCTCTAATTACAGAGCAGCATTTACTGACCGCATCACGTGACCCACAGACGCAGCTAAAAACGCTGGATGGGTGGAGACGCTTCTCTCTAACGAGCAGCGCCGTTAAGAGCACTCTCGTGTTCTGTGTGTGACAAACGTGTGAGACAGCAGTGAGTCTGGATGAGGGAACGATGAGGCACAATCACAGGAAAAGTTCAACGCTTTAACCACCAGAATCCAAAAACATAAACAGGGTGAAAACTACAGGACAGGCTGAGCAAACCCATCTGTCTCTAGCGGTGTTTACATCCACCTATTTTTATGCGCATTTTGGAATATTGCATAAAAAACTCTGGATGGAAACACCAAGATGCACATGAATTCTAAAAAAGCTTATGCACACAATTAAGTAGGATAAAGTTTTTATCTGATAAGAAAAAATTTTCATTAACTACAATAGAAACACATTTACCGCATAGTTTCTCCATGCGCATCAAAAAGTCATGTGACTTTGAGCTAAGAGACGGGATAACTGGACTAACAGCGGACCGATCTCGTTCGCAGCATCTGAAATGTTGTTCTGGTCGTTCTGAAAGGCCTGAGCAAAGTCTGTCGTCAAAGTATGTCTGTATAATTACTGTCTTACACGACTGCGTTCCTGAAGAGCAGCATCCGCCTCCGAAAGCATTGACTGCATTTATTGTGTTTCGTCTGCTCGCTCTGAATTTATGACATATGGAAATTATTATATTCAGTGGCTTCTCCTAGTTTTCTTAGTGATATTTAGCGGCAGTTTATCAGGAAGTGACGAGTTTGTTCTCTTTGACTCGTTGGATGGAAACTTCTGTCAGCGACGTCACACACGGCAGGGCAGACCTCAGGAGACACAGAGACATCAGGGATGTTACTCTGAAGATATTATATTACATATTATATATTACAGATATTATATATTATGAATCCTGTCACACAGTCAGACTGAGATCATCTCACCTGCGTCTCAGTGTGATCTCAGAGTCGCTCCAGTCCGGACGCAGCGAGTGCCATTTTCATTCATAGTGACAGTAGTGTGATATTGTGTGTTTGTTATCAGAGACCAAACAAACACACACACACACACACACACGCACGCACACACTCTCACTCACACACACTTACACGCACACACTCTCGCTCACACACACTTACACTCACACACTCTCGCTCACACACACTTACACGCACGCACACACACACACACACACACACACACACACACA